TGCCCGTAGTTGCGTGCTGTAGAACTACATGTGTTGATGACAATTAGGAAATTGTGAGAAAAAGTGGCGGAATTTCCGTTGATTTTTGTAGGCTCCTACTCGAAGTCGTGTGTAAATTGTTGGGTTATCGCTTGAGGGACTCCTGAGTTCAGCCGAGGAAGCCACTGATATAGTCCAATAGTGTTGTGTGGCGTCGTGTATCTACGCCACATCATCGTCATAAACATATGAGAGCACATGTGCTCGTGCAGAAAATTGGGTGTTATTGTTCTAAGTTAGGTTTTCGAGTAGAACTGTTTCATCAATACTACTACCTACTATAGCATTACTGTCTCATACCGTAAACCTGTGAGATGTGAGTATTTCGTAAGATGCCTCCCCCTGGTAGTTCCCATGAATTAGGATCACGTTTCTCGCAGTACATGTTCATACAGTTTGTGAAGCTTCAAAGCTGTTATCGTTGATCTCGGGGAAAAACGCTCATTTTTCACATTTGCATATCAAATTGCAACGGCCCCTCCCCCCGTAGGTTAGCAGAGGCTCTGTGATTACATCAGCTCACGCTGCTGCCCAGTCTGCATTGGACAATCTCAAAATCATCATGGACGGCAAACCCTTGGTGCGAGGTGATGCCTCAGCTCAACAGTAGCGACTTCTTGTTACTGTCACTTCCCATAGGTGGTGTTTGTAAGCTTGGTTACTCCTGGGAGGCTATGGATGTCCGCACGTTTGACGCAGAGGCTTCGTCGTTGGCCAGCCAGATGCAGGATGTTCTCCTGCAGCCGACTTGCAAGAACGATTCTGTTTTGGTAGAGGCTGCTACTGTTGTGATGGAATCCTTAAGGAGATCTTGGGCTGCCAGGTGCAAGAAAGGGTTCCGAACAGTCTCGAGATGAGATTTATCACTGCCATGGGAGAGGTCCGCCACGTGACGTACTCCACTTTTGCCAGGATTAGTGAGGATGGGCTGTATAGGGACTTCGAGAGGTCTATGGTAGGAAGGACCGGAATGTGAGCTCTCGACTAGAGAATCATCCAGGAACCTATAATGATCCCGGGGGAAAACTCATTTTTCACGTATGGCTAGGAACACATTCTTCAATCAGTTTCCAATGTAAATGTCATCACGTTAGGAACGTTTTCTTTATTGTTATCAAGACTCAGAGCTCGGTGGGTCCCTGCTCGTGAGTGTCGTTTTCAGGATCGAACAGAGGCTGCCCATAGGTGGTTTGAGGGAGATGTTGAAGCCCTGAAGGAGGTGGGCCTGTACGAGGGCCCTCCAGGGTGATATTGGTCGTCGTCGTTGTCGTTACTCAGGCCGAGGGTATATGCCACACGTGCATACGAGCCTGGCAGCGATGGATGCTGACGGAGGCGGACCAGCCAGCTCCGGCCCTGCGGTATGACTTCATCATTGGTCGCGATGAGCACGGCAAGGTAGGCCCTCCTGGTCTTGTCCCGGCATAGTCTGAGTGTTGTTCAGTTGACGGTGTATTTGGGAGAACTCTGTGAGTTGGGCTTTAGCATAATGGACTACCCCTACGCTGAAAGGGATGTCTTTGGTGCTGTGGTGGACTCAATAACGTGGGATAGGCCCTGTTTGAGCTGTGGGGTTGGGAAAGAACAAGCTCCAGCAGCATGTGGATTATGTAAGATGTGTGATCAGGATGTGGGGAAGGAGTGGTATGAATATGTAGGTCTTAGCGGAGCGAAGCTCCCTGTGAAGCCACCAACTGTTTCCGAGAAGGCTACCACGCACTAGGGACGACGATCCCCCATCGCATGTTGCTCAAGTACTTTCTCGTAAGGGGTCGATGCCTTGTCGATCAGTTCCCAGGTTCCTGTGTTTCAACCAATACCTGAGATGAGAGCTCGCGAGCAGTTCTATTGCTGCTCTTAAAGACGTTGACATATCATCATCTTGTGCCATAGCATGGTGTTGTTGGTCTGTGTCCAGGGCTGTAGTTGACTTTTTGTTGTTGATCTTTGTCAACGATGTCGCCTCGAGCCTATTCGGCATGTCTGTGTACTACTGCATTGTCCATGCTGGTGCCCTTGCTACTACTGGTCCTATCCGCCCTCACGATGGCTCATGCAGAGACGAGGGGAAGGGGCTACGATGGTGAGGGTTTAGGCATACGCAAGCTGAATAGTGTTAGTGGTAGTCCAAGAGAACTGGTATATAGCCGGGGTGAGTCGTGGAGGACTTCGAGGTGATGATGGTTGTGCTCTTGAAAGGTGACACTATTATAACGGCTAAGCTGTTCGGGCATATAGACCAGTATGCTTACTGGTTCATAGACCTACTGGTGGGTACTCCACAACAGCGAACGAGTCTTATCGTTGATACTGGTGGGTCGGCCCTGTTGGTATGCGTCTGTACTGTTGCTTGATTATAGGCTCTACACTGCCTGGTTTCACATGCGAGATACCGAAGGCTCATGTGGGGAACCATATAGACCCGCATTTCGACATTAATAAGAGTTCCACTGCTAAGTGGTTGTCTTGTGACGATTGTCCTGCGACGTTCAGAACGCAATGTCGAGAAGATAAATGCTAGTAAAGAATGGTGATGCATTCTGTTGCTTTCTTATGCGTCGTCAGTTACCATCAGTCGTATACTGAGGGCTCTAGTATAGAAGGGTACTGGTTTGAGGACTATGTTAGTCTGGATGACCACGATGAGCTCAACCCTGCGGTGATGACGAAGTTAGGGTGTCATACCAGCGAGAATAAACTTTTCTACACGCAGAAGGCCAATGGTAGGCGTGGGAGGGTCTTTACGTGTGCTTGAGGGGTCGTGGTTAGGTATTATGGGGATGGCAC